CTGCCAAGCTGGAAACAATGGTTGGTCGGTTGTTGTGTTTCATTCTCAAAGAGGAGCAAAATGACATCACTATGTTGGAGTCAATATATATTGGAAACAATAATAATAATAATGATAATGATAAAAATAGATAGCATTTGTATAGCACTTCAAAGTTAGCAATCCATCTTACGTTATTCTCATCTGATCATTCCAACAACTCTATGAGATAGAAGTTATTATTATCTTCATTTTCCAGATGAGGTTGGGAAAAGTTAAATTACTTACCCAAGGTTGTACTTCCAAGTACTCAACTTAGGCAACATTTGAACCGAGGTCTTCCCGATTTCATGTTCAGTGCTCTATCCATTGCACCCTGTAGAGGCCAGCCCAGAAGTGTACTGTGATTCTCTCATTTGAGGACCAACTTCATTAAATCCAGAGAATCCCTTTGGTTATCCTTTCACCGTCATCATTTACCATGGAATCTCAGTAAATCTGCCTATTAACATGTGAAGGGGGTTCTTATTTGTGTCAATGTTACAAATGCCTTCACTAATGAAGTGATCTCTGAAGAACTGAAGAGGCTTCATCTGATAGTATCCGTTTTCTGGATAGGGTGTTTGCGTCTGGATCTTTTACTCATTCTCCGTGCCTGTTTCTTCAGCTTAAAATGAAGATGCTTATGTCAACCCACATTACCTACTTCTTGGGCCTCTCAGGGCATCTGAGATTCTATTCATTGCTTGCAAAAGGTTTTTCCTTCAAACTGATCAATTATAGTCATTTCCTAACAGTTCAACACGGTATTTGCCAGGAATAAATATCCTCATGTACTGATAAAGCATAGAGATCAAATTTGGAAATGTTAACAGAAAAAAAAAAGAAAGAAATTCTTAACATGAGCAAGCATTTTATATTAATTTAACTTCCTGGAACATGTTCTTGCCCAAGTGATAGTGGGTTTAGCAAGTTCATTCATGATGCCAGTGATAACCTATCTGCACTTGAACAGGTTCCAGAGGTAGACAGGTGATATGAGCAATTAAAATTCCTATGTTGAAAGGTACTGTATTTCTTTAAAACCAATGGTACAAATCACCAAAGAAGGAGAGGAACCAGTGGAAGCCACAGTCTGGCCTCTACCTACCTTGGCCATCTTATTTCATATTACTCACCGACTCTTCATTATAGTCAAACTGGCCTGCTAGCTATTCCTTCTATTTGACGTCCTGCCTCCTGCTTCTTTTGCTTTTATCTATGACCTGTCACTTAAGCCCTCCTCACCCCCCACCCCCTCCCGTAGAATCAATCCCTAGCTTTCTTCAAAGGGCAGCTGAAGTGCCACCTCCTCCAGGAGGCCTTTCCTGATTCCTCTAGCTCCTTCCCGCATCCTTAGTTCTGGCTCCCTCTTGAAATTTCCTTGCTTTACTTTGAATTTCTTTGTGCTTGTTTGGGTATAATCCTGTTGTTTCACCCAAGGATGATGCCCCAGTGCTAATGCAAGTCCTTCAAGGAGATGCTTTTGGTTTTGTCTTTGTGTCTCCAGGGTCCTGAAGTGGGGTGAGAGTATTCATGTCTCCTCAAGCCTGGCAGGTTCTTCACCAGGTTCAGGTGAAAGCTCTCCACCTGAGAGGGTCTCTATGCATAGAAAGAGGAGACACTGCTATTTTGTGTTTGAGAGCTCTATTGTGGTAAGAAAAGTTAAGTACCCTTATTTGGATGAAGCAGAACATTTATGCCACTGGGTTTAGGCCCCCTAACACATTTGGTACATCAAGTAGGGTGGCAAAAATGATTTCCGATAGGGAGGACAAGAATCTACCTCCCCTCTACAGACCCACCCATCTACCTTCTCGGGGGTGACCTAGTACCAGCCCATGGCCTCTGGGAGCACAAGAGCTGTGAACAGAGGAAGGCAAGTTCCCCTTGTGTGATAAGATCTTGTGACCCAACAAACATGAACAGGTGGTATGATAGATAGAGAAGAAAAAAAGTGAGAGGGGATGGTGGCAGGGGCAGGACTGGGAGACTTTATGATAAGAGGGTTTGCAGAAGAGAGAAAAACTTTCCAGGTAACACAGCCCTGAGTTTGAATCCGGCCTTGGACCCTTACCACCTGTGTGGCCCTGGTCAAGTCACTGAAACTCTGTATGCCTCACTTTCCTCAACTGTAAAATGGGGATGATAGCACCTACTTCACAAGGTTGTTGAGAGGATCAAAGGAGATAATATTTATAATCATTTAGCCCAGTGACTGACACACAGTAGGCATTTAATAAATGATTGCTACCTTCCCCCTTTATTTGCATTGCCAGGGCTTAGGATTGTGCTTACATATAGCGAGCACCTTGTTTTATGTAGAGTGAATGTGCTATCAGCAATGTCTGTTTTCTTTATGCATTGTTGGTGGAGTTGTGAACTGGTCCAACCATTCTGGAGAGCAATTTGGAACTATGGCCAAAGGGCATGGTGTGTATATTCTTTGACTAAATGATACCACCACTAAGTCTGTATACCAAAAAAATTTTTCAAAAAGGTGGTGGGAATGGAGAGGAAGATCCTACTTGTACAAGAAAGATTTATAGCAGCTCTTTTTTTGGCAGCAAAAAATTAGAAATTGAGGGCATGCCCATCAATTGGTCAATTGTTAATACAAGCTGTAGTATATGATTGTGATAGAATATTGTGCTATAAGAAATGTCATTTAATATGATTTCAGGAAAACTTAGGAAGATGTACATAAACTGATGCAGAGTGAAGTGAGCAGAACTGGGAGAACATTAGACATAAGAGCACTGTTGTACGAGAATCAACTGTGAATGACTTAGCTATTCTCAGCAATATAATGATCCAAGATAATCCTAAAAAACTCATGAGGAAAAAATGCTGTCCACATCCAAAGAAAAAACTGATGGTGTCTGAATACAAACTGAAACACACTGTTTTCATTTTCCTTCCTTCTTTCATTTTTATTTGTTCTAGTTTTCTTCCACAAAATAATTAATTTGGAAATAAGTTTTATATGATTGCACAGGTATAACCTATATCATCAGATTGTTTGCTTTCTTAGAGGGAGGAAGGAGAGGAGGAAAGGCTGGAATTTGAACCTCAAAACTTAAAAAAATAATGTTAAAATTGTTTTTACATGTAATTGGGGGAAAATACGATGTTATTTAAAATGATACAATAAATTCAACAAATTATTTTTTAATGAAATGTCTGAGTTTGATTATCTAACAAGAAATTGTTAATCGGGGGTTCATTTAAAAACATTTTGGTAACTGTATTGTAACATAATGTTTCCCTAGTACCCCAGTGTACTTCATTTTATGCATTTGAAGACATTATTCTGAGAAGAGGTCCCTAGACTTCAGCAGATTGCTGAAGGGGTCAACAGCACAAAAAAGCTTAAGGACACTTGATCTGGGCAGAATTCTTATCTCTTGGTCTGATCAGCCATGAGTGGGAAAAAAAAAAAGAAGAAGAGCAATTTCTCTTCTGAGAAACAGGGGAAAGAAGTGGAGATTCTGAGTAGGCAGCTTCTAGACCCGAACAGGATGAGTCTTTTCTTTGCATTCTAATATAATCACTTCTGCAGCAAAAAGAGAGGAAATAAGGAAGAAGAATTCCTTTCCCACCCCCACACCCCATCTTCCCACTCCATCTGTTGGTATTTAAATTGAACGGGTCACTAAGAAGGGATCGAATTCATGACTCCAAAAAACTGATTTATTTTGTGGACTTCCAAATCTGTGGGGATGATTTTTCCTATTTTATATGCTTAATGTTTTCATGGAGTTAGTTTCTCTGGATATACTGTTCTAGAATGTGTACATAGAAATAGTATGGAATAATGTACAAATTTACCTAGACACACCCTTGCCCCCCAAAATGAAGAATGTAAATTGTTTTGTTAGGTCAAGCAGCCCCCTAGCCCCAGACCACTACCAGATATTTGGGGAGTCTTCCAGGGTTCACAGATATTGTAATCTTTACACTCCATTTTAAGATTTAATTTGGTTTCAGCAAAAGCATAACAGCCTTTGTGTGTCTATGGGAAGTTCTTTGAAAACTTAGAACCTTTTACCCTCTGGAAAAGAAAAGAAAAAACCTTATCTTCTGCCAGAATGCATGGTGGAGGAGCATTCAGGTGGCAGAGTGGATAGAGCACCGGCCCTGGGGTCAAGAGAACCTGAGTTCAAATCTGACCTCAGACACTATTTTTTTTTTTAGTGCTAGCTGTGTGACCCTGGGCAAGTCACTTAATTCCAATACCTCATAAAAAAATAATCCTGTGTGATGGAACAAGAAAGGCTTTATTAATTTTTCACCTGAGTAATGCAGTCTATAGTAAGTAACAAACTGATTTGGGGATTTTTAAATGCTTCAGATTGACATGTCTCATGAAAGGCTGCATAGATCTTCTGAATCTGTGTATTTGGATAGTAACCTGTCTGAACAATTTCTCTCCACAGAGAGGACCTAAGGTACCTACCATAACCCAAGAGCCTCTACTGTTTCCCTAGTTCAGTGCTTGACAATTCTTTAGCACTTAATTGTAAGCACTGTTTGAAAGCAATTCAGTTCATAAGCATTATTTTTACTCACATATTATTGATCATGAGAGAATCTGTGAACATTAAGAGGGCAATTGGAAACTAAACTGGATATTCAAAAGTCTCTTACTTGAACATTTGCCAGTCGCGTAATATTGAGAAATAGGGGGAATAAGGAAATAATAGGCTATCAGCAGATCTTTTAGGACTGGGTTTTAAGTTGCTGCAAGATATTGATGCCTAGAAATCTCTCTCCCTGACTATCTACGAGAGATATGGCCCAGAATCTTCCTAGGAAAAGACCTTAATTAGACCCCATATAGAGCACCTACTATGTGCCAGGCCACTGTGCTATAAATATCAGTTCATTTGATCCTCATAACAGCCCTGTGAGGTAAGTGCTCTTATTATCCCCATTTTACAATTGAGGAAACTAAGGCAAACAGACATTAAATCACTTACCCAAAGCCATACAGCTAGGATCTGAGATCAGATTTGAATTCAGGTCTTCTTGAGTCCAGGTCCACCATTCCTTCTGTTGTGCCACCTAACACTGCCACTTAGCTGTTACAATAATAGCCCTCATCTTACTTCACAGAAAAATCTTCTGACCATAACAGTAGACACCCAAATGGTTTCTGGCATCTTACGATGAGTCTAAGTGTGCAGTCAGAGTCCACAAGCAGAGGGATAAAAAGTGGAAAGTGAAACCAAACCAAACACCAAATTTCCTATTTCAATTTCTACTTCGGTAAATTTGTAGGTGCCTATATGTGATGCTTTGGTCCCCAGCAGTCCGTTTTAGACAGCTGTTGTGGGGATAGTATCCATTTTATGTTGTCCACCTTCCCGTTAAAGAGGCAAGAAAGTCATCCATAAGATTTCATTGGTTGGTCCTTCTTGCCTGAGACTTTTTAAAGAGTATAAAGTCTATGGAGACCTGCTGTAATTCCCACTGCTGTGAAAAATGTCTTTCTGACTCAGTATTGTCAACATAGTGAATATGAAATGAGAAGGGAGCACCATTCATTTGAATCTGTGACGATTTCCTTTTTAAATCTTTTATTGTGAAATGATTCTTTTTATTTGAACTGTATATGTTTCACAAATGATTCTTCATGTTCTGATCCTGAGTCTGAGTCATAGGACTAGACCGGGGGTGGGGAACCTGTGGCCTTGAGGCCACATGGGGCCTTCTATGTCCTCAAGTGTGGCCCTTTGACTGAATCCAAACTTAAAGAACAAAAACTCCTGTGGCCTTGAAGCCACTTCACAGAAGTTTGGATTCAGTCAAAGGGCCACACTTAAAGACTTAGAGGGCCACATGTGGCTTTGAGGCTACCAATTGCCCACCTCTGGATTAGACTGAGCTAGACTCAGCCCAGAACAGTAACTGAAACTTGTTAAGAGCTCTGTGTGCAAGTGGATGGTGCTAAAGTCTGTCCTATACCTCCTGAGAAGGAGGAACGCTAATCCAAAGGTTACTGAAGAGAGCCCAGAGGAATGAGTACCCAGAGACAGAATTCCAATAGATCACCTTACCTTTTTTTTTTTTTAAATTCTAGCCTTTGCCACATTGGGAGCCACTGGACTGGACCTAACAGTGCCCTGGGCAAAGGACATAACTTGTCCCCCCACCCCCAATTACCCAAGTGGTACCACCCTATTTCAAAATTTCTTTACCAGTTGGATGGTTTGGCCACACCACCCCCAGATGAAGTTCAGATCAGGAGGGAGTGGTAGGAGTAGGGGGGTATCAGCAACTCTGACAACACTAGAGAGATAAATCTGTTGTATCACCAGTGTGGGATGGGAGGTGTGGGGATTTCATAGAGGAATCTTAGAATTAGTTAGCCCAAATTCATTGGACTGTTCAGATTATGGGTTAAAAAAAACCCTACGATGGGAATAATCTCAATTCCAGACTCAGGGAAACAAAAGATTAGGGAACATAAGAAAGAGCATATAGTTTCATGCCTTTAAGAGAGGGTACCTTCAGGAAAGAGAAGTAGCAGTGGAAAGAGTCTGGGAATATCTTCCCCAAGATCCAGGAGGAAGAGTGGAAGATCTTTGGTTTGGGGCCAGGGTTTAATTGTAGCAGTGGTAGTAATTTTTGTAATAAGCTCTGTAGCATACTTGCTAAAATATTGTTTAGAATGCTGCCTCTGGAAGGAAGGAAGGGAAGGAGGGAGTGAGGAAGGAAGGAAAGAAGGAAGGAAGAAAGAAAGAGAGGGAAGAAGAAAGAAAGAGAGGAAGGAAGAGAGGAAGGAAGGGAGGGAGGAAGGAAGGAAGGGAGGAAGGAAAAGAGGGAAAGAGGGAGAGGGAGGAAGGAAGCAAGCAAGTATTTATTAAACATCTACTGCATGCCAGTAACTAAGTGCATTACAAATATTATCTCATTTGATCCTTATAACAACCTCGTGAGGTAGGCATTATTATTACCCCATTTCAAAGTTGAGGAAACTGAGTCAGATAGATGTTAAATGACTTGCCCAGGATCACACAACTAATAAGTGTCTGAGGCTGAATTTGAACTCAGGTATTTATGCACTGTATGTCAACCCTAAATTGGAGGTCTGAGTCTTGCACTGTTAAGGATGATTGGAACCCATGACTCCAATCAAAAAGGGGAAGGAGAGAGGCTATGGCCAGTCCTCTACACATTACTTGGGTTTGAGCAGATCTTGTGGTACAGTAAGCATTTCAAGGCATGTGGGAACCAATGGATACTACTACCCAATATGGCCTGACATATGGGCAGCCAGAGCACAAAGGTGTCTTTGTTTCAAGAATTGTGGAAGACTTTCCACTGGTGACAGCACTTGGCAGCACCCATCAGGCTCCTATAAAAGCATCCAGCTTGGGGATGGGGGGGGTGTTGCCTCACTTCCTCCTCAGACCTGGCAAGATCCTCACCCTCTATCAGGTACAAAAGCCACCAACCAGAGTAAAGCTTTGTCGGGGGGAAGGGAGGCACAGAAAGCCCAAACTCATTCCAAGCAGAACCATCAGCTTGTATCGTTGCCCAGTGCTTAACAACTGTATCCTTGTAAGGTAAATAAAACTGCTCTTAGCTGTGTGACTACCAATCTATTCCTAGCTTTAGGATGGATTCTGTAGCTTCCTTAGACATAGGCACTTAGTAATTAATAAACATTTGTTGAATTGTGTGGAATTGAAAGAAAACTGATGGAAAGTTCTTAAAACAATGACAGACCTTGGCAGATTTGTTTTTTGATCAACAATTTGGATACTACAAGTAATTTTTTAGTCATTCTGGCCAGATTAATACCAATGATATTCTGAATGTTGCAGTTCATTTGAAGAGTTTTCGGAACAAACATCAAATCTAGAACTTTTCATCCTTTTCTTTGGCAGTCTGGGGAAACTGATGAACTGCTTCTGAGAATGAGGTTTTTAAAATTCATAAAATAAAGATTATAAAGGGAGCTGATTCTACTGAAATACAGTTATCAAAATATTTTTTAAAAAGTTCACAGACTCAGGAACTCCTACAGTAGATGAATCAGTTAATGTTACTATTAATTATGTCTTAATGGGATCTTTTTTTTAAAGTGATTCATTGCTTCTCTTAATGCTAATATTTGTGATGCATACTTAGTCATTGTTAACTTCTGATTCCAGTATCCTGTTCTATTTTTCCAAAAAAAACCAGTAAAAATGCTTCTAGTGAGGAGTTTTGCATGCCATAAAGCATGTGTTGTCATTATCTGTCATAATTATTACAATAGAGAAAAATTGTGGCATGAAGGTAGATGTCTCTGCATTTATGAAATCTCTATATGGTAAAAACAGTTTGCTTGTACAGGAGTGTACTTGTACCAGAAGATTGGAGAGTTTAAAGTAGTCTCTCCCTGTTAAAATAAATTGGTTAAAAATCATTTTTTAAAAAAAGAAATTTGGCTTTGTTCTATCCTAACACACTGACAATTTTTGATAGCTCCATTTAATTCAGCAAACATTAAAGTACTTGCGCTGTATACTTGAATGGGCTACGGGGCACCTAGTTGTAGTTGGGTCTCAATGTAATTTAGTATCTTTTCATTTAGACATTTTAATGGTCAAGTTGTTCTATTTCTCAAGGTTCCAAAACTGCTGATGACTTATCAGCTTATCTTTGCAGGTAACACCTCATTTTGTCTTCTTCCACGTGAACAATTTGTTCAAAGAATGCTCCTTTCCACTTGAAAATGGAGAAATTTTTTTAAGAATGGCTTTACATTTGCAATTATGCCCCCAGGCAACAGGAAACTAATGTTTCGAAAGAACACTTGATCCCACAGCTAGATAATGCTGGTTTCCTCAATAATGTGCGAACGCCTGAAGGCTTTATGTTGTTGCCAGACATACATTTTTTTTGATTGGTAAGAATTGCCAGGTGACGTTTCATGAAATATAAAAACAAGAAAGACAGAGGGAGGCCAATAAACAGAACAACCTGTCAGTTGGGAAAGAAAAGGGAAAGAGATTATTAATCAGCAGCAAGAGATGGCGCTTGGAATTCCATTGTACATCCTGCTCAATGGTAAGCATTCTCTACTTCGGTCTTTGTGTCTGTCTGAAATGTGCATGGGATTACAGTTCTCTTCATTGAAAAGAAGTTAGGTTCTAATAACTTTGGCTTGTGACAAAGATTGAGGCAGGGATTCTAGAAACCAACTGGCATTCAGTTTGAATCTGACGAATGTTGCTTTTCTGATGTTTTGACTCTTTTCTCTTGGAAACTATGATTCTATTTTAAAACAATCACAGTACATCTAACACCTTTAACTAATTCTGATATAACTGTGTTCGGGTAGCTGAATCGATATATATATATATAATATATATATAATATATTATATATATATATATCTATTATGTGTCTAGACACCCATATATAATACATCTCTATCTATCTACACTTATATATACCTACACAGAAATATGTACTTACATGGGTATATAGAGATATCTATATGAACCTACATATGTATATTTTATATTATAGATGTATTATACATATCTATATGTCTATATCTATGTATGCCTACCTAGAGATATATAAGCTATATGTATGTATACATATATTTATACTTATATAGAGATATAGAGATATCTACATATATAAACATAGTATAATACCTATACATTATAGATAAAAGTATATATATTATACATATGTATATATTATATGTATATACATGTGTATATATCATAAATGAGCCTAGATTTAGAACAAGAAAGGAAGTGAGATAGAGTTCATTTATTCTAATACCTTCATTTTGAATAAGAGGAAAGTGAAGAAAGAAAAAGTTCAGTGATTTGTCCAGTCACCCAGGTACTATAAATGGCAGAATTTGAACCTAGCTCCAAATTGAGTAGTCTTTCCACCATAGCCCACCTTTTCTCTGTTTATTCTTAAAAAATAATATTTTTCTTCTATCTCCCCTAGTCATAATAAAGGAGTCATCAGAATGATAATTTTACATTTTAAAAAATAAAAGAATGAAATATATGGCCATTTCTATTAGTTTATTCTTTTGGCTTCAATTGCAAATGAATTCCTAGTAGCTCTAAAGCACCCTGAATAGGAATAGTTCCAAGATGTGTTTCATAGACGTGAAATAAGTTGCTTTGGGAAATTAACACGCCGAGTTGTTTTCTTTTTTTCCTTTCTAATACAGCCATGGTATCATTGAGTAAAGAGACAACTGTTACTGTATCTACACCAATTACAAGCCAACAAAGTAACTGGACAGTTAACAAAACAGAAGGTATTTTCTTCCGTATGTTTGTATTTCAAGTGATAGTTTAATTACTGTTAAAGAAAGCTGTATTCTGATGAAAGCAGGGTCAATTATTTAAGGTTAAATACTCTCCTTCAATAGGTAGCTTAGCAGGATACCTTCTTGTGGGAGTGTTCTGATCTGCTCAGAACAAAGTGTTTCAAAACACTCAAAAAAACCAACACCACATTTTAGTTTAAATCACTGACCTGGAGGTGAAGGGCTGCACGATTGCCTACTGAGAATCTGAACCCAGGAGTTCCCTTAAAACTTGGATCTATCCAAGTCTTCTCTTGGTGAACAAAGACCTTAACCATTTTAAGCATTCTTGGTAATTGTCATCACAGCCTAGTATGGAATGAAACATACTTCAGTCAAGGGAACTCTGAAGAAAGTCAGCAACTGAATCCACTTTCTCTTCATGTTCAGAAAGTTCTCTTAGCATCTGCAGAGCTCCCTAACAACCCAACCTTCCGCGTTTCTTTTAATTATGATTACAAAAACTACTGGCAGCTTCTGAGCATCAGCATTTTTTCAAACCTGTTTGAACTCTCAGAGGTGAACCTGGAACGCTCGTTACTTGCCAAGACCTGAGCACAAGCTTTTATGGTTCTCACGCAAGCCACATTCCCCATGCTGCTTTGAAGGTTAGCGATGTTATCAAGCAGAAAGGAAACACCACATCCTGACCTCATAGCTTGGCAGGCAAGTAGGAGAGGAGGGTCATTCCAAATATTTGGTTTCAAAATATATGTATTCATAATATTGAAGTAGAAAAATCACCACTCTGATTTGGTGGCTCCCTTCCTGGGAGCTCCCTCCACCTATGAAATTATGTCTTCATGTCAGAACACAGACATTCACGCATATACACATATAGTACCAATATATGGGTTCATATATGTACATGTATATGTTACATATGGATGCACATATACACAGTTAAAGATGAATATATATATGAGTATATGGCCCAACATAAACGCTTATTAGACTCTACCAGTAGTTTTAAACCATAAAAATTTATTTTTAATATATCTTTTTGCTTTTTTCCCTTTAAACATACAAACATGACAACAACCTTCAATAACTTATTTTTGTGGGAAATCCATATTTGTAGGCAGCAGTATTTTGTCTTTCTTCATGAAGACCATTCTGCTCAAATAGATGCTTATTTTCACCTAAAATTCTCAAATCACCAGCAGCGTGCCTCAGTTTGAGTTATAGTTGGTTCCATGTTTTTACAGCATTCCTATCTAAGATGATTCTTTAAAAACAATGTTGTGTCCTCTGTGAAGAAAAAGTTGGCAATATTTTGCCTAGCTTTGCAGCAATGTTGTTTTCTTGCTCTTGAAAAATAGAAGGAAAAAAAATGTCTTCCTTATGTGTTCTCTTTATCTAGATAAGCAGCTTTCATATACACTGGACTCTGAAAAATATCGAGAACCCCCTAAAGAGCTTTGTTAATATGCATTATATCTATCAATATTTACTGTTTTCAGAATGAAAATTTCTTACTAACATTATAAAAATAATTTTAACACTGAAGACCCTTTGAAGGGGTCTTGGGATCTCTTTGCTCACACTTTGAGAACCATTTTGCTGTAGAGGAATGATTGTACTCATTTCTCTAATTTTCTCCTTTTCATTCTCAAATTACCTAGACAAGAGCTAGGTATAATTTTGAGCTGCTATTCTTGATGTGTTTGTGTTGCTACCAAAATAATGGAGCTGGAAGGCCCTGGAGAATCATCCACTCAGTTCACACAGAGTGATGAAGTGAGTTGGCCATCTTCATACAGTGATCAAGAATATGTCAGGCTTTGAACTCTAGGCCTAATGTTCTTTCTATAAAAACAGTTTTCATTTCTTCAAATTTAAGCTTCAAATCAAAAGATTAGCTTAGAAGCACAGGCTATCCTTATTGCACAAAGCAACAGATGAGTATCTTAAAGGTAATTTTCAGGATACACCCGTCAGCTTCTGTGAGCAACCACACAACCTGTATTTTCGAGACCCCGTTCCTTCAACCGCCACACCCACCCCAAGAGACAACATTTGAGACTTTACTAGCACATTTAGCCTGTCAAACATTTCAAGAAAAACAACAATAAAAATAAAATAAAAAACAAAACTTGGTCTATCCAATAATCAAAAGATGCACTTTTATAATAATATGCCAAGACAGCTTAGTCACTGATTTGCCAAAAAGATCTTGTTTATAAGATAGTGTCACCTATTCTCACAGAATGGATCCCAAGGTAATAGTCATTGAGTTTTTTAGGACTTGCAGAGACTTAGAGAAAACCAAATCTTGGTGCTAAGGTTCTTTAGAGAAAACAATGTAAGGTTTCCCTCCTTAAATGAGTATTGTGCTCTCAAAGGGAATGGGCTGAGGCAAAGATCTACTAATAAGTCTATGATTTATGGCCATCTATAATGTATGATTATAGAGTCAAAGCTGGAAGGGACCATAGAGGTCATGTAGTCTAACTGCCTCATTTTACAAGGGAAACTGAGGTTCAGAGAAGTTAAGTGACTCCCCCAAAAGTAGCAGAGGTGGTGAGTAGGATTGGGACTCTGATTCTCAGACTCCAGAGTCACTGTGAGGTGAGCTCTTTTCTACAGCAATTCTTCTGGGTAGGCTTACTAAGTCATTAATTATTCCTTCCCCTTCAATCCCTCTGCTTCACCTTGGATGATCTAAGTAAACTGCTGGTATTGGGAGTACTATGCTAAATATATCCAATTAGATAAGGCCCCTCTTCATCACAATCAAGAGTTAGCTGGAAAATATTGCAAAACCCTATTTTGTTTATTTTCTTCCTCAGGGGATACACAGTTACAAAGAAAAACTGTACTCTATTATTTGATTTGACATTTGATACATTGCAATATGCTCATTTATTCTGGGTAGATGTTTGAGTTCCAACTTTTTTGAGGCTTCTTTTCATAGTCACACCAGTTCATCAATTTTAACTCTTTTAGGTTACGATACTGGATCCCATGGGGGAAAAAATGAAATTATCTCTCTGCTTTCCATTGTTATGTCTTGAATTTGTGTGTGTGTGTGTGTGTGTGTGTGTGTGTGTGTGTGTGTGTGAGAGAGAGAGACAGAGAGAGAGAGAGAGAGAGAGAGAGAGAGATTAAAAAAGAAAAGGGGAAGAAGAGAAGAAAGGCATGTTAGTACTTACCCCTGAGGCAAATCCTAGAGAAATTTCCTATGCAGATCTAGAACACTTTGTTCTTTTTCAGAAAGCTAGAAGATTGAACTCAATATATCGCATCATAGTGAGTGATGTATTTTGATATGTGGAAATGAAAAGAGAAAGAATAGTAATCATGTTTCTTTTTATCCCTTCACTAAAGAAAACGATTAGTAAAGTGGTCATCACTGCAATGCTAGGAGGATAGAATCAATGCTGCCATCTTTTGGCCAGTTTGTGCACATACACTTCAAGTGCCCCTCTTTCTGAACTCCTTGAACTTGACAGAAAAACAATCCATTCCTCTCCTTAATTGTTTAAAGACTTGGCGGTTAGGATTAACTCCACCCTCTGAGCACCACTTGTTATAAGATCAGTTATTCGAAAGTTGAGGCAGCTAAAGGAAATTAAAAGGAGTCGGGGAGGGAGGGCAGGGCCTTCCATGGCTCTCTGGCCTTCTGACCTTAATCTATTTCTCATGCTTCATTCTCTCAGCTGAATACACAGAAGGGCCCATAGCCCTGAAGTTCTCTCACCCTTGCCTTACAGACCATCATAGCTACTGCATCAATGGTATCTGTGCATTCCACCATGAGCTCAAGAAAGCTATTTGCAGGTAAAGGCAATGAACATGACCCTCAATCCTACCTCCCCTTCACCCTCTGCCCCCCATAACAGTATCTTGCTCAACTGATGGCCTCAAATCAACTGGCAAACAAATCTACTCAAACCAGCTTAAGGAGACACAGGGTGTGAAGGAGACTTGTAATGCCTTTTCTTAAAGAAATCAGGAATTTGATTTATATTTAATTTCTACAGAGCCTTTTCCCAATGACCAGGAGCATTTTACTAACCTGCCATTTCCCAGCTATCCCTGTGAGTTAGGGATGGGGAGGGGGCAATCCAGACGTGATTTCTTCTGTTGGAAACATCAGCAATTTATCTCTGATTTCTGCCTTAGACAGTTGCCTGGCACCAATAGCCGAGAGCTTACATGATTTGCCAAGAGTCAATTGTACAATTCAACAAACATTTATTAAATGCCCACTGTGTGCCAGGCATTGGGGTATATAAGGGCAAAAGGGAGGAGGCTCCAGCCACTGCACCTTCAATGCTATCTCTCATAGGATAGTCAGGGAGTGGTTATTAATGTACAGATGAAGACAATGTGACCTAAGCTGCCTTTGATATAGTGAAACAAGCAGTGGATGGAAATTAAAGGAGCTAGCAGCTATTAGTGCTGGTTTTGTGCTTGAGCAAGCTCCTAGGATTGTAGAATCATAGATAAGAGACAGAAGGGACCTCAGAAGTCACTGAGTCTCACCTCATTTTACAAATTAGGAAACAGAGGTGCATTGAGGTGAAAGAAATGACTCACAGATGTTAAGTAGCAGATTTGAGCCAATGTTCTATGAGTCCAAATACAGTTACTTCTTTCTCTGAGCCGTCATCTCTATCTGAAGGGACATTGGTGCAATGGAAAGTATGTAGGCTTTGCCATCAAAGGACTTGGATTTGAATCCTGGGTTTGCAGTTTATTAATTGGGTGGCTTTGGGCAAAGGCATTACTCCCTTCTCTAGGCCTCAGTTTCCTCAACTGTCAAATAACAAGGTTGGGCTCACTGACCTCTGAGGTCTTTTCCAGCTCCAAATCTATGATTTGCTGAGCTATGAAATGTCCCACCTCAGACTCATGTAGGGTGTGTGACCCTGAGTAAGCCACTTCTCTCTGGGCCTCAGTTTCCTCCCCTGTAAAATGGACTGGGTGGTCCTCCAATGATTCAGGCCATTCTCTAAGACTAGGTTTCAGCAAAGTTGCAGATCTGTACTGATGAGGGCCGGTTCCTCAGCTAATAATTCCCTTTGCTAGTGAAATTATAGACCAGTCACTGGATTTTTACTTAGACACTGGGTTTTCATTCTGACCAAAGGAAACATACTTAAGACTTTGATAAAGTGATCCTGAGAAAAACAACAATGACCTTGTTCAGCAACTCAATGCTTTTGCCAGATTGAGGATTATTTCTTATCTATAATTCCTGCCTTTCTAATTTAGATGATGTCCCTGTTTCTACAGCAATTTTTCTTGTATTTCCAGCATTTGTTGATTCACTGAAACTTGGATTTCTTTTGTACCTCTACCACTAACATTTTTAAAATATGTATATATATTTTAGATGCACTACAGGTTATACTGGAGAAAGATGTGAGCACTTAACACTAAATTCATATGCTGTGGATTCTTATGAAAAATATATTGCAGTTGGAATTGGTGTCGGATTGCTATTAAGTCTCTTCCTCGCTATTATCTACTGCTATGTAAGGAAGAGGTATGGATCAAGAAGGAATGTGGCATGGACAGCATTGTATTGAAATTCAGACCACAAATCTGGCAGGATCATTCATGACAGCAGTTCTGGTACCTTTTTCTTTGTTTTGTTTTGTTTTGTTTTTTCCCCATGAATCTTAAGAAAAGGAGATGGAAATCCCCCTTCCTTCCCTGCACAAAGTTCACATTTAGTAAATATTTATTGAATTGAATTCTCAGTGGCAGTGTATAGCTATAAATTTCAGCCTTTATTACTATGCCTTCCTAGCTCCATTAAAGGTAAAAATTAACAGACTCGTAGCAGTGCCCAAGATAAGATACCTGCACTGGGATTCTGGAAACAACTTTCCAGAAGTCAGAGCTCATAAACGAAGTAGTATTATCGGTATGCTGTCATCAGGATAATGTTATTTACCACTCTCTATGATCACCTGACTCTCCCCTCCTCATCCCCCCCCACAAACTCCAAAGCCTTCTTTCCTGTATTGGTACCCTCTAGCTCTTGGAAGAACAGCCTGTTCTGGTGTTATTGGGTATATTTTTTGATGGGTGGGGTGAGAGAATTGGTAAGGCTCTTCCTACTCCCTCTCCCAAGCATGGTGCTATAGATGGTGCTAGAACACATAGAATCCAAGAAGAAAGGACTTCAGAGTTCATATAAACTTCATTTTACAGATGGGGAAACTGAGGCCCAAAGCAGTTAGTGACTTAACTAAGGTTATGCAGTTACAATGCCTAGTAGATGTTAAAAAAAATAAAACACATGTTGAATTATCCCCTTATTCTTTTCTTTTTATTACTGGTATAGTAGGAAGAGAGCTGGGCTTGGAATCAGAAAGAGTTGGGTACAAATCCTTCCTTTAACACATACCTGCTCTCTAAGCCTGGGCAACTCACTAAAATTTTCAGTGCTCTATCCAAATTCTTAAGAATCTAAGTTGCAAAGGAGGCACAGACATTCATGGGTAGTAGGAGTTTCCTTATCTGGGCAGCTCCTTCCATCTATGAAATCACAAGTCTAGTCTCCATGCCAACTCATGAAGATTTAGAAACAGAAGAAGGGAAGATAGAGCTGATTTTGTTTTATCTTTATGGATGTGGATGTGATGGCTATGGTGAGGGAGGGAAGAGGACAGGAAGGATAAAATTTGATATTTATATCACATATATATCAGTTGTAGAATTATGTAAAAGATTTGCTATTGTCTGATTTAACGCATATTTTATCAGATAATGTAATATCCGGTTATATTACTGACTGAATTTATATCAGTCTTATATTATTGTACAATTATCTCTAGTCGTTGAACTGGTATTGAATTCAATACTTTGTGGTAGGTGCATGAAATTGCATGTAAAAGATCTCCACTGTTTGTGCCATTTGAAGCAAACCCAACAATATAGTATAAGACTTTGTAATATTGTTAACTAAATTTCCGTCAGTCTTAGTTTGTTCTCCAATTATCTACAGTTGATATTGAGTTCAATGTTTTGTTTTAGATGCATGAAATTGAAACCTCTTTATAAAGCCTGCTATGGAGACAAGAGGCCATGGTGAAAAGTGAGCATAATATTATTGGTCAAAGCAGATGTGGATCAGAACTGAACCAAAATTTTCCAAGGGAATCCAGCAAAATACCATGCTTCAGGTGAATGAAAAAAGAAGAGGAATAGATCAAACCTGTACTCTGAGTTCCCATTGAATGAGTAAATGGACCCACTCCATTTTGACAAGACTTGACAGCGCTAATGGAGGCTATCATGGGAGTTCTGGATGCAAGAGTCATTGACCTTCCCTGAGTCTTTTTTGGTGTTACTGTTCCCCATACAAGAGGATTTGATGTTTTCATTCTGATACGTCAAATGTGGATTACTGCAGTCATTCCTGCAAGAGCCAATCAATTCAACACAACAAACTCTTGTTTGTTATAGAAGAGATTCGCGTTTAAGCTATAGGTTGGACTACATGGCTTCTGGGCACCCTTCTAGCTCTAAGAATCTGTTGTTCAAAAGTTCCATGGCAAATGGGTGGGAGAAAAGAGACATTTTCACAGAATCCCCCCACTAGGTGGAAGGCCCTGTGCTAGGCCACAGTTTGGAAAAGAACTATAGCCATACTCGCTCCTGAGGCCCGTTGTCTACTGGCAAGTCAAACTAGCCCCTTTGGGTTGTTGTCTGTCCACAGTGTGGACCTACCCCCTTTAAATAAGTTACTTCTATGGCACCTGAGATGAATGTGATAACTATTATTCAAACAAAACCAGTGTTATTGAGGCTCCAGTGGCCCAGGCATGAAGTCAAAGTGTGAACTCTTATTTCTAGAAATGAAAGGTCTGTAGAAACATTATGACCATTACCGCAGTGCTTATTAAGGGAGGTGGATATTCTTCAGAAGAAGCAAGAGTCTCAAAGCCAGTGACCATTGTCTTAAGGACTCGAAAATGAGCAAAGCCTTTCTTCCTCTGAATGGACATAAAATGTTTTTCCCCAAACATACTGGTCCCCACTATCAAATGTGTGATTTAATGAATAGCCATGTAACAGCAATAAGAAAATAGTTCAAAGTGACCTATGGTCCACAGTTAGCCCTTACATTTGGACTCGCAGGGTGAGCAAGGTCATTTCTTCACTGGCTTATGACATATGGAATTTTTCTTCCCAATTTCTTGACTATGTAGATACATGGAAGATGTTGAGGTTGGAAAAAGTATAGCAAAAAAAGTATTAAATTGGAAGTCAATACATCAGGGCTTTGGTTCAAGTTGACTACCATTGACTAACTGGGTGACCTTAAGCAAATAACTTTCTATTTTTAGGCCAAAGTTTGCTCTATAAAGTATATGAGATGGACTAGGGGATCTCAAGTAATAATGATAATGACGATGACGATAATGATGATGATGATGATGATGATGATGATGATGATGATGGCAGCTAGGTGGCACAGTGGATAGAGTGCTGGGCCTGAAGTCAGGAAGACCTGAGTTCAAATCCAGTCTCAGACACTTACTAGCTGTGTGACCTGGGGCAAGTCACTTGACACTGCTTGCCTCAGGTTTCTTCATCTATAAAATGAGCTGGAGAAGGAAATGGCAAACCATCCAGTATCTTTGCCAAGAAACTCCCAAATGGGGTCATGAAGAGTCAGACACGACTGAAATGACTGAACACCAACAAGAATAATAGCAATTATTATAAGAACAACAACAACAGCATGTATAAAGCATGCTATGGCTGCCAAAACATTGTAGATGTTAGCTCGTTTGATCCTCATAACAGCTCTGTGATACAGGTAAGGAAAGAGAGGCTGAGAAAGGTTAAGGCATGTGCCCAGCTAGTAATTTGCTTTGGTGGGATTTGAACTCAGGATTTTCTGACTGCCATCTCTTCCAACCCAGCGCAGTTATACAAATACCTCCTCAACTTATTCAGATGCTAAAAGAGCCTGTGTGATGGAACTAAGAAACGCTAACTAAAGATACATACAAATGAGTTGCTAAGCTCAGAAAGAGTATACTGTTAGGAAGGCTCAAGTGTAGCATTTGACTTAAGCTTTCATTAAATAGAAATCAGAGTTAGCATTTGTATGGTGTGCCTTAAGGTTTGAAAAGCATTTCAAATATTATCTTATCCTCATCACAATCCTTTGAGACTGGTGTTATTGTCTGACTGGGGCAGGTAGAGGTTAAGTGATTTGCTGAAGGTCACACAGCTAGTAAGTGTGTGAAGCTGGATTTAAAGTTAAGTCTTTTGAATTCCAGACCAGCACCACTTCACCAGCTCTAAAATGTTAAATACAACTCAAAGGGCTATCCATGTTAGAGATGAAGAATAGCATCACTGCTTGGGGTGGATGGGGTGATAAGATTTGAAATCCCACACAGGTGAGAAAGGACTGAGAAAGGGCCTCATTACCTCAAATGGGTTCAAATTTTCCACTCCAAAACAAACTCTGAGTCAAAATACTCAAAGAACCTGCCTACATGAGAGTTGAGTGGCTATTGGTGACCTTTAAGAAATTCTAGAGATCAGGAGAGGTTCTCCAAGATTGTAGACAGATATATACCTCCATCTATATCTATATCCATCTATCTATCTATCTATCTATCTATCTATCTATCTATCATCTATCTATCTATCTATCTATCTATCTATCTATCTATCTATCTATCTATCTATCTACCTATCTATCTATCCATCCATCCATACATTCATCCATCCATCTACTGTATCTACCATATCTACCATCTGTCTATCCATCCATCCTATATCTACCATATCCATCCCTCTATCTATCTACCTGTCAGTAGTTTGGTGGCATAGCGGATAGAGTACCAGCCCTGGAATCAGGAGGACCTGATTTAAATCTGGTCTCAGATACTTCAAAACTGTGTAACCCTGGGCAAGTCACTTAACGCTGATTGCCTCAAAAAAAAAAAAAGAACAAATGAGACATAATACTCAAAAATACTTGGAAATACTGTCTTAGACATGATAGTATCTCCATGGGAGGCTATTACTAAGCCAATAGGAAGATACAAAACTCATGAAGTATCTATCAGCTATCTATCTATCTATCTATCTATCTATCTATCTATCTATCTATCTATCTATTTATCTATCTGAATCTTCAGAGTGGGAAGAAAGTAGCCTCCAGACTAAAGTTGGGGGAGCTTCAAACTAATTATTACCAAAATTCTAGATTTTGTAATGAAGTTGTTGTTAAATGAGCATTTAAAAAGGGAGACAAGGTCATTTCCAGGATGGATTCATGAAGAAGTAACAATGGCAAAAGAATCTCATTTCTGGATTTGGCCAGAAATCTAGCAGGATCTCAGTGAGGCATTTAGTAAAATCTCTTATAATGCCTATGTGTACTGAGCATTGTACAGTTGTGTGGCTACAATGTCACTTGAATGAAGTGATAACAAAGAGTGGTGGGAAGTGGGTCCATCCTAACCCAGAGGGAGGTCTCTAGTGGAACCTCACAAGGCTGTGGACTTGGTCCTGCTGCTTTTCTGTTGTTGGTCTGTTTGGTTTTTTAAGTGATGCAGAAGAAAATTGGAATGGCTTGTCAGAGATCAAATAGTGGGAAACAGAAATTCCTGCGCTTGGATTAAAAAACTCAAATGCTTGAACACAATATGGGGAGACAAGTCATAGATGGGGCTCATGTGAAAAAGATCACTGGATTTGGGTGGGCTACAAGCAAAGATGAATCACCAGTATGATATGGCCCCAAACAAAGTAATGTATTATGTGATTGCATAGAAGATGCAGAAACTAACATTCTCACTATTAACTGCCTTTGCTCACAATCATGTCAACAAGCATGTAGCATGTCTAGGATTAGCCAGTATGGTGACAGCATGCAAAACCACGCCTTTAAAAATCTAGAGAAAAGACCATTGATGCCTGTTCTTTACAAGTAAATAGATGACAGCTACTTTTAAATATTTGTAAAGCTAGAAAAGGTAATAGATCAGTTTTACGTAGCCCCACAGAATAATAGAATAAGGCAATGAGTTGTCACGGACAGAAGTTACAGAGACAAAGAGCTCCATAGGTGTTAGAGAGAGCCACAGATTGATTAGAGGGGAAAACTTCCTAACAATTAAGTTCAAAGGGCATTTAGATCTGTTCAAGCTCTTCATTTTGTGGATGAGGAAAACAAGACATAGGAAAGGGAAATGACTTGCTCAAGGTCACTTAAGAAGAAAACATCCAAAGCCAGGGTTGAAAGGGAAGGATTGAAGGTTGAAACTCCTTAAATTGAAGTCCAGGGCTCTCTTCCTATACCAGACTGTCTAACGAGCCAGAAGTAGAATGGGCCATCTTGTAGTGAGTGAGCTCCCTGTACCAGGAAGGCTTCTGGTAGAGGCCAAATGATTATTTCCCAAATGTTGTCCAGGGGATTAATTGGACTATGTGACCTCTGACATTCCTTCCAGCTCTGAGTCTATTATACCAAAGATCTAAGACATATGAATGGGAGAAAAGAAATTTTTATAGAATTCTCTTGGCAGATCAAAGATTTTCCCCTTTAGAATATCTGTGTGTGAGTGTATGTGAGTGTGTGTGAGGGTGTGTGTGTGTATTTTAATAGGAAAAAAAATCTAAAAATTTAATTACTTTTGAAGGATGTAAAAATATTACTCAGACACAACATGTGAAAGACATTTTAGGAGAATTCAGTTATTTGCCGACATTGCACCCAGTCTCACCAGGTAGTTCATAGTTAGAGGCTGAATTAGTGAAAATAGAAACCCTACTGGTGAAGCCCTATCTTGACCTTTGGGAGCTGGATCACCAACCAGAAATCATGTGCATAACTTATCAAACCACTTTGCTGTAATTTATTTTTTTAAAATTCATATGACAAAAGAGGAAATATTTATTTTTTTAAATTATTAAAACTATTGTGTCCACAAGATAAATCAAAAGCTTGTTGCAACTTACTATCCTTGCCTGGAAGGGCTACCAATTTTTCTTTCACTTCCATAAAACAGTTCCTCATCATTCACTCTTGAATCAGACTCTCTTACACAATTCAGCTTTCCCTTGGGTAGAAACTATTTGACTTCCTTTGTTGTTGTTTTGAAGACTCTGTGGTGCCAGGCCAACTCATGGCACATCAGCATTTTTTGTGTCTTCACCCAGGATACAAAGCTTGCATCATACCAAGGAGTGGGGAGATGAAGGTCCCTCCCTCCCCAATGGTTCTAGGAGGCCACACCTAGGTTGTTAGGTGTGCTCTTGCGAGGCATCTCTGAGAAGCAAAAGAGCTGGACAGAATCCAGGTAACACCAACAAAGCATGGTTAAGGAAATGCCAGGCAAGACTCATGATAAAATAGAAAAGGCATTAATGGGGTGTACTGTGAAGAAGTAATGTCCTAACATTGAGCACTTCCAAATGTTTGCACAATGTAAATACAAGTAAAAATGAATTTGCTTGGTATGGTATAGTACACATTTGGCTCAACTTAAGAAAAAGAATTAGGAGTATGTGTGTGTGTGTGTGTGTGTGTGTGTGTGTGTGTGTGTCTTGAGGGAGCAGTAGAACAGAACCAATTTGAAAACTGACACACTTAATGAATACCACTTGATTAAAAAGTAAACTATTTTAAATTGTGCAATAGTTTTCCAGGAGTTATGCTAGTTATACTTCACATTACAAAAATGTTTCATATGCATTTTCTCATTTGATCTTCACAACAGACTCATGAGGTAGGTACTCTAAGGATTATGATACCCATTTTCAAATGAAGAAACTGAGTTTCAAAGAGGTTGAGATTTGTTGTTCGTCACACAAATGTCAAAGGAAGGAGCTCAACTCAGGTCTCTACTGACTCTGCTTCAAACATTCTGTCCATTACCCTCGTAATTATCAGACATTTTGGTCTCAGGACCTTTTTGCACTCTCAAAAATTATCGAAGGGCTTTTGTTTATCAGGTTATATATTTTTCTATTTTTCATATTGAAAATTAAATAGTCTTGGTGTTATTATGAAAATTATTTAACCTCATGGACCTCTTGAAAGGGTCTCAGGGATCCCCAGGTGTGCCTGTACTAAATTTTGAAAATAGCTGCATCACACAATGCAAATCCAGCCACCAAAGTTGCATCAAATTCTAGACAATAGTTTATGAAAAGTCATACCTCAGACACAGTGTCTGTGCTCCTCTGCTAGCCCCTTGTTCATATAGAGGTTCTGTTATTTGATTTTCAGGTAAGAATCTTTGGTTTCAATGTGATGTATTAGGTAGTATTCATGTACATAAACCAGATTGTCAATGCTCAATCAATTAATCAATCATTTTATTAAGAACTTAATATGTGCTAGATTTTAGAGGTACAAAGACAATGAAGCTGTCTCGTCCTTCAAGGATTTAACATTCCATAGATGACCCCAAGGATTGCCTGGCTGAAA